ATTGGCCTCCACTACCAAAAAATAGAAATCAATTATGAAGTTTGTCGCTAATCTTTTGACTTAATTTTTTTCATCATACATACCTTGACCTTGTTGGAAGAATATTTTATCAATAGACTTAACATGCTACATCAATAATTAGTGTAATACAAAGCTTAGCTTATGTCTAACTTTTATTAACCTAGAGTAAAAATCATTGTAACTTAAGTTTTTCTATTTATTTAAATTTTACCATGCATAATTTGTTTATCTATTCATTACAACAATAACATATCCAATATTATTGATTTATATAATTATGGTTTTTCCAAAATTTATGATAAGTGTGTTGGCAAATGATAGAGTAAAGCAGTATACAAGTAATGGGCGCTCAACTCGGAGTTGTGGGGCCACTCTTTTTGAAGATTGTTGAGGACTCAAACCCGATGTATATTCGATGCATCACATTTGTTTGTGTTAAACATGATATTTCCATCACTTTAATGCCTCCACTTTGGTCACAAGCTCACGCTACTGAGCTCGGCTTTTTCTTTTATGGTCTTAAACTGAAGATGTGTGTAATGTATCAAAATGCTCTTCGAATCTTATATTTTTAAATATGTCAGGTAAAATGTTGGACGTAAAGAAAGTGACATTCTTCTTTAAATAAACTAAAAGTAGAAGTAAAACAAATATATTCAAACGAATTGAGCACCAGTTACTCTAAAATTACAAATAAGACAAGTTTTCATTGAATCATCACGAAGCAATTAATCAGGAAGAGATGTATGCAATCAGATGTTCACTATTTTAAAATGTTAGCTAATCAAAACTCTCACTTTAAAGATATACTAGATGGAAGTAGCCCATGCTAGCACGGGCTCATGATGAACTAATGACAAACATCATATCAATATTAAAACATTTCATTACAACTTAGAATTATAAATAGAAAACTTCTTCAGTTGATTCATGTCAAGTATTTGTTCCGGCAAATTAATATATGATGTCTTATCTTCTAAGATATTACATGCTCTTTTACAACAATAGAAATTATAGAGAAATTTTCTGTGTGTACTCATCTGTACCAATACTCCTATTTATACAACTCTATGTACACAAAAATAAAGAGAAAATAATATTAGTTTTTACAGCTATCTAACTTTTATTTGTCTAATGCTAACAAGAAACAACTGAAAAGATTCTCTAATACATTTCTTTGTTGTTGCTGATCAGTTTGTACTCCAATATACAACAGGTAAAAGATAAGTCATCTAATACTAACACTTTTTTACTGTGTCAAAACTCGTTTGGTAATTCAAAAATCATATAAACAACTTTCTGTTGCTGTCAGAGACTGTTCTGTTGTTATCACTATTTTGGATAATTTTGATCATTCAAATAATGGGATGGAAAAAACATAACTTTCTCAGGTTGTCTTGCTCCAGCACCAAAGCAAGATAATAGTTGCAAAATATTGTTTCCTCTTTAGATTTAGCAAAATCGAAGCGATTAGTTTTTCTCACAAGTTAATATCAACAAAAAGTAATCTTGTAACTAACGAAGTTGCAGAAAACATGTTTGGTATGTTACACCAGATAGCAACTTTAAGTTAATAGAAAATAACTAAAGGATTTGGTGCTTTTGAATAGACTAGTTTTACGGCACGTGCGTTGCACGTGTATCATATCATATAGTAAATGATGTTGTAAAATAGAATTAATATTACTAAATTAAAGTTTTTTAGCAAATAATTATAATTGAAAAAACATTGAACAAATGTTTTTAAATGATTAATACAGATCAGTGAGTTAATTATTTTTTGAGAACAAAATGACCAGATATCATTGAAACATTTCAAAAACATTCAAAATTTAAATATGGGGAGAAAGTGACATTTCTTTAGTAGTATTGTTTTTTTCTTTACTCAATTTTGGAAACAAATTGAACCAACAAAATAGAAAAAAATAGCAGTATCAAAAAGGTCACCAATAGTCTTTTCTCTTGAGGTTATGACCATAAATAATGGACTCCATTTAAATACATTTTTTCTCTTAAATATTCATACTTGAATTTTATTATGTGCATGACACTAATAACGATTGCCATAAATATTTCAATAATTTATCTTTATACGTAATATATCTTTTACAAAATATTATTACTCGATTAATATTTGAGTAAGATTATCATAGACATGTAATTTTATGAAAAAATGTACTTATATAGTGAATGTCTACACTGTTATAAGTAGAATGTTATAGAGACAAAAAATATAACTTCATACATTAGTTCTAAAGAAAATTAGGTTGTTACAGTAAAATGTTGTTATAATGAATGATTGTTAAGTAGAGGTTTGAATGTATGTTAAATATTTAGCTTGACCAATTTTTTGTTTTGGATATATATATTTCAGTAGCATAATTTAATGTTAATATATCACCAACATCACGTATGGTGAAAAGTATTTCATTTTTTTAAGTTTCTACCTTTTCTTTGCAGAAGTGTTGTCTTTTCCTCTTTTCTGCCGCATACATATCATACAGTTTTTGCCTAATAAAAGTATCTAGTATCTTATAGAAGTTGTATCGTGATATAAAATATTAAATTTTTTCAATATAAAAAATTAATAGATGAAACAAATTTAAAGTATTATTTATAGAGTCTTTAATTTGATTTAAGATCGTTTTATGATCAATCACTATTTTCTTATCTATTTTTTTATAGCTAGCAAGGAGTGTATCTTGTGACGTAAAATTTTCAAAACTATTATAGATAAAAATTTATTATCATAATAATAAAGAACAAACGTGTAATGCACGTTACCAGAAACTAGTATAAAAAAAGTGTTGAAAAATAAAAAGCATTTCAAATATGATTCGACAAATGTTCTCAAAAGAGTAGGAAGAAGGCAAAGAAAAATGAACTATGTAAACAAAAGATCAAAGATTTTTTTGTTTTATATAAATATCATTTCTAAAAAAAAGGTTGTTGATTTAATAATAACTTAACAAATAAGAAAATGAAATCCAAAGTGACCTCTGCCAAAGACTCATTTTCTGGATTTCACTTCTTAAAACACTATCCAATAAGTTGAGATTCTTGTAACTTTCTCAAATGGCCATTCCGGTTGATACCTTATTTGATACGGATTATTTGAGTTGAGGGTCTATATATCATAAATAACCTCTCTACCTTTGCAAGGTAGGGGTAAGCTACATACCCACCTTCTCTAGACACTACTTATGGGATTTCACTCGGTATAATGTGTAGTTATTGTTGTTGGCCTCTCAGGTTGATTCATGGTCCCCCCCTTCCATGTCAGATTTTCAGTGCAAGAAGATGGTTTATTTTTTGATTGGAGTGTACTTCGTATAAGACAAGGCTTAAGTTGAGTGACTATATTGATACAAAGACAAGATAAATGGCTTTGTCGCCAATACCGGAGAAGAAAATTCTGAAACTATTTCTATATTTCAATTATCAAGGATAATCTATTTGAACTATTATAAATAATATTATCATTGAAAACTAACAAATGTATTATAGATTGGTTGGTAATAGACCCGTGATTTGTTTATATGGACTCAAGGAGTCCTCATAAACTGATTTTTGGGATTGAGTTATGCACAAATGTCATCGTATCTTAAAACATATCTTTCATCGGGTTACATGAGACTTGCCTAGTGTAGTTTTATGTCTCCTATATGTGAAGGTTATTATAAGGGTAGCGACTGCAAGTTTCCTTGTCATAAAAAAATCGAGTGCCTATTTTATAATAAGCATAGCATTTAAAATAAAGTTCTACCAGGTATCTCTATCCACCAAAACTTAGGCAAATTGAATGAAACTGGAAAGGATATACTTTGTCAAATGTTGGAGAGAATGTATGGACAAAGTGTGATCTTTGAGTACTTGGCAAGCAAATGAAAAATTCCAAAAAGCAACAATTACTTTCCTTTTTTCTTCTTTATAGTGTCTGTCATTGCAATAAAACATATATTTTGGGAAGTCCTAACATGAGTTTGAGTGAAGGAAGATATGGAATCAAATGTTCACTACTTTAAAATGTTAGCTAATCAATACTCTCACTTTAAAGATATTATTTTGACCCCATTATTCTTATTCTCAACCCTGAATGCACAACTTATAAATCTCTGTGAATTTGTTGCTTGGAATAACACAATCAAGCTCTCCATTACCTCTATTAAGCTTTCATTTTCATACCAAATTCTCCAACATTGCTACTCTTTGATTTTCATACCAAATTCTTCATTTCCAATCCGCTCTATGATCTTTCGTTTTCATACCAAATTCTCTCACATTGCTACTTTTTTATTTTCATACCAAATTCTCCATTTCCACCAGTTTCACACCTTTACTTCCCAGTAACTAAGAAAACCAGTCAAAAAGAGAGAATTAGAAAGCATAAAAAAAAACAATAGCAAAGTTCAGACTTCAGAGTTGATAAAAGACTTGTTACTAAACTATACTAGCTATGGAGTTCTTTATCTATGTTTGTGGAAAAAGTCACAGATTGCTTGATGCAGCCAGTTGCGCGAGGGTTTGGGTATATATTTTACTACAAGAGCAACATAAGATGCATGGATAAAGAATCTGAGAACCTGAAGAATATCAGAAGTGAGGTGCAGCAAAGAGCGGAAAATGCGCGGAGAAACTTAAAAGACATTTTCCAAATGGCAAGGCTTGGTTAACTAGTGTTGATACCACTACTGCAGATGTGGCAGCTGTAATGCAACGAGGTAGAATTGAGGTTGAAAGATACGGTTGGTGTCCAAATTTGAAGTCACGTTACTCGCTGAGCAGGAGAGCTAAGAAAATTACACTGAAGGTGATTGAACTTCAAAATGAAAGCAACAAGTCTGATGTAATCTCCTTTGATCATCCAATCCAAAGTGAGGCTATATAGTGAAAGATGATGAGGTCATGGCAGCTCTGAAAGATGACGGAGTCACTATGATTGGGATATTTGGTCTGAAAGGTTGTTTGATGATGTATTCATGGTAATTGTCAGTCAACAACCAGACTCAAAAAGAATTCAGGGTGAGATCGCAAGAGAAATCAGACTGACATTAGCAGGGAATAAGTTATGGAGTCGTGAAGATCAGCTGCGTACAAGGTTAATGGATCAGAACTGCCGCATCCTTATAATCTTGGATGATGTTCAGAAGGCTCTTGATATAAAGAGACTTGGAATTCCAAGTGGAAGCAACCGCAAACACCAGTGCAAAGTGACATTCACAACACATTTCTGATCTGTTTGTGCAGCAATGGGAGCTCAGAAGACATTGGAAGTTGGAATGTTATCTGAAGAGAAAGCATGGATCCTTTTCAGGCAGAAAGTCGGTAATTTTGTCGATGATCCATCTCTACTTGACATAGCAAAAAAGGTTGCCAAAGAATGCAAGGGGCTGCCACTTGCAATAATTTCAGTTGCAAGAGCACTAAAAAAATCTTAAAAGCAAGCAAGGTGGGAAGCAGCCAGGCTGCAGCAGGTTCGGGCGACGAAGAGGATGATGATGACGATAACTACCGATTAAGTTTTTGTATAAGATCATGCAAGGGTCAGCTTCAAACGAGCATATCTCTTAGAATATGAAAAATTATGTGCCCTATTACCCATCAAATTAAAGATATTTGTGTCTTATTTCTAACTCCACTAATCATTTGTAAATCTGAGTCTGGATTAAAATGTTACGATCGTTTTACCAGAGATGCTCTAGTCTGAAACTTTCAGTAGTACGACCCATACTATGACCCATGGGAAACTTCAGATAGTTTTAAAATCCACCCAAGCAACCACAAGTCAGACCACGACTCATAGTATAAATGTATGATCCATATATCACTGTATACGACCTGTACATAACTTTATATCAGTTGTATATAATTTTTTATAGATTTTATAAAAGCGCTATTTTGAGTTCTTTTCACTCCTCGGTCAACCCTACATCCCTCGAGATCTCTCTTAAACTCTACCAAGTCTTGGTAAGTATTATCCATAATCTTATAACACAAAATTTAGAATTTCTACAAAATTTTAACATCAAATCCTCTTCCTAGCTCTAGTTGTGAAATCAAGAACTCGATTCTTGAGTTCGACATTTGATTTTGGGGAAAGTCCATCAAGATTTGTTCCTTCCAAATCAAAGTTAGCATACTCTCACAATTTTCTAGTAATTCTAACATATGATTGTGTATCCTAAGCAAGAATCTACCATCAAAACCTAGGGGTTTCAAGATAACTCATCTCAAGGTTCAAGAACAGACTTTTGAAATTCTTCTTTAATCTTAGGGTTTCAATTGGAGAGATTCAAGGTATGTAAGGTTATCATAGTAAGGAACTTAGCTCTTTCTCACGTCCTACATCTACAGTTTCATTTAGTAAGGCCAAAGTCAGAGTTTTTACCCCAAAGTGCATAAATTCATGTTGTTTTCTAATCCAATCTTCTTGATGTCGAATTCTATTGTTGAAATTATTGTATTTCATATTCATTGATGATTCTTGAATGATGGTTTATATTTATTCTACAACATGTGCCCTTTTTAGCTAAAGTTATTTGTAGATATTGTTGTAGTATTTCATATGCATTTTTTTTTCATGAATAAAATATATATTACAAGTTTTAAAGAAGTATTTCAAGAAAGTATATTCAGATTCAAGTGCATTATTTAAAGAAAGAGTTCAAGAAAATATATTTAGATTCAAGTGCACTATTTCAAGAAAGTATATTTATCTTCAAGTGTATTATTTCAGAAAGAAATGAAAGCCATATTTTCATAAAGAAATCATAGTCAGTTTTTAAACAAAGTAGATTTCAGCTTTGAGAAAGCATAGTGATTTTAGGAATAAGGCACAAGTACCCCACTAGTCTATGATCGAAATTCCACAGACACACCTTAACTCATAGTCAGTTTTTAAAGAAATTAAAGTAGATTTCAGCTTTGAGAAAGCATAGTAATTTTAGGGATAAGGCACAAGTACCTCACTAGTATATGCCCGAAATTCCAGAGACAGACTTTAACTAAACTAAGGTCCTATTACCCCCCCCCCAACTTTTTTTTTGTAATTTTGTACACCTTTTTGGCTTCATCTGAAAACGTTTCCTCTTCCATTAGCATAGCTAAATTTGAATAGGATGAATCAGCCTTAGGAAAAGCAAGCCCCATTTCCTTGATTGAATTTGGTTTCGCTGCGCCCTGAATCAATCAAAAAACTTATTGATTTGATTCATCTCATTTCATTTATTTGGGCGAGAGGGAGGATGTGAGTCACCTGTGCTACGAACTTTTCCATTGGTTGATTCTCAAAATTAAAAAAAAAATCGGATCCAGACCCACAAATGAATAGGAAGCAAGGCGAGGGTCCTTCATTAAAAGGGGAAAAAGAGGGGTGGGCTTTGTTCTGGGGGAGCGGGGGGTGTCTTGCGCAACTTTAGAAAGGAGAGAATGACTTTTTGAAATTCTCTTCAAACCTTTCTATCTATATTTAGAAGTAGGGCGAGAGAAACGGGCATCCAAACATCTCTCACGCGCTTCAACTACGTGGAGTTATGGAGTGTGCCACATAACCCGAAAGGTGTACAAAATTACAAAAAAAATGAGTTCGGGAGGGAGTGGGGAGTCATAAGGACCTTAGTTTAGTTAAGATGTGTTTATGAGATTTCAGTCATAGTCTAGGGGGGTACTTGTGCTTTATCCCAAGATTGTATAGCAAGTTCAGTTCAGTTCTAAAGAACTATTTAGAGTAAAACCTTGTATGTGATTTAGAAAGACAAATAGTTTATCTATTTATGAGCGTATTAGTATATACAAATAATTTTTGGAGTATTATATAGTAGCAAGAAGATGCAAGTTTAGAAAATTCAAGTCTCATAATTACGTTCCATCATAGGATTTTTTAGCACACCGCTAGATGGTCATCTTCTTTAGTCCAAGAGGCTCGATAGTGGATCCACATCAAACAGACAAGTTCTATATCCCGGCACAGTATAAGGCAACCCTCTCAACTAAGATTGTAAGTTATACATCATGAGCTCACATGGTTTATGTCGATCATAAGAAACTCCCCAAGAAAAGTAAAGATATATTATTTTTAGTAATTGCTATTATGGCAAATAACCTGTTTAAATTTTTTATTGATAAAGCACACATGCAAATTTTACAACTCAGATGACTTTGTTTCAGTCTAACCTTGGAGTTACTCATTCAGTTGAGTATGTTCAATTTTAGCTAGTTATTTCATTCAAATATTTTACATACCATATATTTCATGTACTGATGTTATTTGATGTTGCATTTTTAATTTAATGATGCAGATTTAGATATTCAAGATCGATAACAACCATATCATTAGGATCACCTTTATATAGCTTCGGTGAGACCTCTTTACTTTTGGAGGTCTCCAGTTTATCTTGACTTTGAGTAGTTAGTATATGTTATTAGTTGAGTATTTAGGTAGCCTGCTAGGTCTTGTCTTGATAACCTATCTCCAGTATGTTAGAATCTTCATAGAAGAGTCAATTAAGTCATACCTTTCACCACTATTTTACAAACATATGCATATTATACAAATTTCAGATTTTTAAATAGAGTTATTGAGTTCGGTTTCTAAATTTATTCCCTGCTCATCTTTTAAAAACTTCCTCATAGTGTCATAGTATTCAGTTATTAGCAGGTCAGATCAAGGATTCTTTTGGAACCAATGATGGTTATGAGTGCATATCACGTCTAGGGTGTAGACTCAGATCATGACATCTTTGTAACACCCCGTATGCTAGAACTATCAGAATGCAGATTTTTAGAAGCTACAGGTGCAACCCACGGTTGCCACCCACGGACCGCAGGGTAACCCATGGTCCGTACTGGTGTACCGTGGATGGCCACCTGCAGCCCTCCCCAGAAAGCCCAGAAAAAATCCTCTAAGTGTCGACCCACGGCCGGACCTACGAATCGTAGGCCAGGCCACGGACCGCTGATCGATGCCCCAAATTCCAGCCTCAGTCGCAACCGATGGCCGACCAGCACGGACCATCGGTCAATCCACGGTCCATCGGTCTGGTCCATCGGTGACCCCGACAGAAGTTAAGTCAGGGGTCGTTTGGTCTTTTCCCTATGCGTTGGACCCCTAAACTACGTCGTTTAACCCCTAAACTACGCAACTTTGGTCAGTTTTAGCCTAGAAACATAATTAGAACTTACCCAAGTCAGATTATTCATCAAAGAAACTTAAAAATTAGAACATAAGAGGAGAAAGAGGTCAAGAACCCTAGTTCAAGAACGCAAAAAGGTTCCATCAGTTCCATCTCCGAAATCGAAAGATTTCTCCGTGGAATTCGTCACCAGGTATGTGGGATTTCACTAGTGAGTTCTTTTCGCCCATTAGGTCCCTAGAATTTAGTTAGATTCTTGATTCCCTTATTTCCAACTAGACCTAGGGTTTCTAGAATTTCAGCAGATTACTATAAATTAGTTACTTTAACGTTCCTAATCAGTTTATCATGATTTTTAGCATGTTTTAGTATTAATTCCTTCGTAATTTCAGAACCCTAGCTATGTAATTCTTTTAGTTCATGAATTGCACATGCTAGGTCAGATTATTCAGTTATACATGATCCAATTATAAATGTTTCATTATCAGTACATTAATGTTGCATTTTCAGTTAGCATGTCAGTATTTGAGCTATCCAGAATTCACAGCATTTTAGTTATAAATTGCTAAATTACATAATCAGTTGGGAGTAGACTTAATACCGAGTGGACTAGGGTCAGTCACATGCAAGTCCCAGAGCTACGTACCCCGTAGGTTGTAAGTCCCCTCTGTGGGCAATATTTTAGTGATCACGCCAGTCATGCCTTTATACTTCTAGCAGGATATATTGGGTCCTCTCGATGGGACGGATACATCGGACTCCACATTTAGCTCATGTGGTTTTATGTTGGTTATTAGTAGCTCCCACAGTTCAATCAGGTTCTATTGCATCGACCATGTTATCAGTTCAGTATTTAGTCTCAGCATGTTATAAACTTGGTCATTGCATTCAGTTAGTTCATGTTCAGTATATTCAATATCCTTACCATGTTCAGATTATATCATTGTTTTATTGCTTTATTGCTTTGTTCAGTTATGTTATTGTTCAGTTTTATCCTATCCTGCATGTACAGTACCTTTCAAGTACTGACGCAAACTCTACGCTACATCTTCTCGTAATGTAGGTTCAGGTTCTCAGCTTCCAGATCACGCATAGATCGGTTCCCGATCTTCAGTTCAGCAACATCAGTGATGAGTCCTCATTCTTCGAGGAAGATTGACATGTCTATTTTCTACCTTTAGTCTTTAGTTTCAGTTTTGCTAGATCTAGTTGGGGCATGTCCCAGTATTTATAGTTAGTAGAGGCTTTATTTCTAACATAGTTAGATTTAGCTTTAGTTTTGAGTTCATCTTCAGTTGTCATTGAAC